AGCACTCTTTTTCAGAGTACATTTTACCAGAAGAATCTCAAATTTAAACTATCCGCTCTCCCCGAATCTTCAAGTAATTGAGCAGGTTGGATTCACTCTTCCCCCAAACAATAATCATAGGATTATTTATATTTCTACACAAGAGGAAATTCTTGTACCTCGGCCAACCGTATACCAGCAGAGGTTTTGAAAAAAAATTAGGAGATAAAAAATCCCATTTTTAGTGTGTGATGTTGGCAACAATATCAGTTTCTTATGTAACTTGTTTAGGTACGTCCACGTCTATTCTGAAAAAGTGATTTGACTGGAATTATTTTTTTATTGTCAAAAGTAAAATTTCCAAACATTGTGAGTGTGGTTTTCCATAATAATCTCTATAGGTTTTTTTCGTAATATTTTTAAAAGAACAAAATCGGTTATGTTGTTAGTGGGTAATCGGTAATATAAATAGGCTTACACCAAGAAGGCAGTCGTTTTTACCTGTATCACTTCATCATCTTGTACCCTGAGACACCCATAAACTGCACAAATTAATAAAGAAAAAGATTTAGGTTTATAATTTAACTGCATTGTGTTTTAAATTAAATTAGATTAGATTTATTCAGTAAAAAACAGTAAAAACTGTATGTTACGAAGGGGTGTTTTTAGATTTATAGTTGGTACAGATGAATGTTAGAGAAGCAATCAAAAGACAAACCTATTCAAGGAAATGAAAGCTCAAGACTCATTACAGTGGATGAGCTTTCTGGTTTGTCACAACCAGAAATCACTCCCAATTCCAATAACCTATCTATTGCTGGCACCCTCATCATTGAATAACATAAACCTCTCTCTCAATTCCAGTGCCACAATCTATTGAGGTACATCATGAAAATCTGGTTAACAAAAATTTCTGAATGGCGTCCTAAAGCCAGGGAAGTCAAAAGAATTGTCAGCCACACCGAAAAAGAAAACAAAATAGAAGCCCAGTTATCCAGAAAAACTAAATAGTGCCATGGGATAACACAATAGCGTGGCCGAAACACAAAATATCTCCAGCTAAAGAACATAAAAAGACGAGAAAATTGCTGAATGTATTATTCATAAATATCCGCTTTGTTGTCCTCTCCCTTTGTCCATAACTATATGGATACTGCAAGGTTCAAAGTCGCTTTATATTTTTAATAGATCTTCTAAATTTAAATAGGAAATGAACAATTACGTAACACATACCAGTCCAATTTCTTTTCAATATAAACATAGTTGGGGTTTCCGAAAAAGGATAGGAAAATTATTACTTCACCAATCGCAGTGGGTGTACCTGGACGAATTAAAAATAAGTTCATTACATTTTACAAATTATTTAATCTTTATTAAATTAATATCATTATCTCCAGTAATAATATTTTAACGCTGTAAGTAAATTTCAACTTGTCTGACTATTTTGCAAAATCTCCAACATGTTTTATGTGCATTCGTAAGGGTAATTTCTTTTCTATAAAAATTTAGAAAACTTGTTCTGCGATCGCTTCAAAGAGTCTAGCGAATTCCACGAATACTTGTTTCGATCAGCGCTCTTCCCTGTGAAAATTCGCAGCTGTCTTTTTGCCTGTCTCCGCCCGCCTCCACGACCGCGCGCGCCTTTCGGCCTTCCTCGGGATCCCGCAACACCGGAGCGTGCGACGGGTTGCCTAGCTCTCCGCGTGGCAGGCGTCGAGGCGAGCAAACTCCAGTGGGGAGAGGACGGAGCGACTCCTCGACGGCTGCGGAGAGGCCGCGGAGTGGGTTGAGAAGGCTGACGGCGCCGCCATTCGCCTCCGCTCGTGCCGGGACGCACCGCCGAAGCTCACTTGTCTCGAGGCGGCTGTAACAGCTGCTCGCGGCAACTGACGGGGATCTGATGGCAAGCGAGCAACAACGGCTCGGTCGGCGCGCCAGGCGGAAAATGGAAATTCGTCTGGCGCCGGAGCCCACGAGGGCCACACTTCGAAGAAACCCCAGGCCAATAAATGCATTGACTGCTTCCAACGACCTTTCTTTCTCTTATCTGGAATGGTGTCATTTTACGAAAAAAATGGTTGTATTTCACATTTGTGACCAGGAGAGGTGGTTCGGGGCATAAACTGATGTCACTGCAGTGCCTCTGACCGGCAGGTCCCAGGTTCGAGTCCCAACGGTGGTCACGACTAAATAGCTAGGTCGAATTCTGTTTGGATGAGAATTCTAACTGCAGGCTGTTCTGATCGATGGTTTTCCGAGGTTTCTCCGATGAACACCATGCCGGAGCAGTACCATAACAAACCTAGCGGACTACGAACCGCGCGAGATCTTTCCTTCCTCTTCTTTTTCGTATCATCGCCTCTTACGCATACTTTCACTCACACGCTCTATACTACCACACATGCCGGGAGACCGGACGGGAGCTTAGAGCTCGTCTTGGCTGGGACGGTGCCCCGTTGGTGGGAGATACCTTTTGGGGGGGAAACCTCGCTAACCGACGACAGGTCGCCATCCAGCGGGAGGTCACCGCCATCAGTCGAGGCGAAAACATACACTACACTTACGGAAATAATTACTCATTAAGTTGTCACGACCGGAATCACTAACAATCAATCAATCAATTCACAATAGTGATTATTTAACCTACTTAAAGTGGCGTGACAGAGACCGTGAGAGAAACAGTGGCGTGAGAGAAAACCGAGACAATAATTTTCTCTTCTTAGTGTAAAACACGCCCTCACTTGTCTTCTCAAGAGGCACCGTCGTGTGGTTGGCGCATGCCATTTGAACCGCGCAATTTACCAGGGTGTGTTTGCGAGCACCTGCGGCGAGGCGCTATTACGCAGCTGCCACTCGAGGGAGGTGCGAGCGTAGGGTGGAGTTTGCGAAGTCAATTGTGACAGAGGTAGACGCGGCGGCGGGCTCTGCTCTGCGGCCGGCGAGGCGGCGGCGGCGGCGGCTGCAAGAGAAGCAAAACAACCCGGAGCCCTTCGCCACCACAGCCCCGCCCCCCCCCCACCTGCACCCTGTTGCC